ATAAATTTCAAGTAAATTAGCGTCCTTAAATTTCGAAATATTGAAATTTCAAGCATTTCTGAAATTTACCGTTATATGAAAAGCGGCCGTAATTTTTGTCCGATTTCAACAATTTTCAACGGTTTGCTTTTATGTGGCAAGCACAATAACCATACCGAGTTTGGTTCAAATTGGTAGAACGGTTACCGAGATACATATATGTGATCATAAGTGGGCGGTGCCACGCTCATTTTCCAAAATTTTATCACAAACATATTTCTTTGTTAAGAATTGTTGTAACCATCAATTTTGAATAAATTAGCTTTAATATTTACTGATTTATCGAATATTTCGTATTTCTCTAAATTACCGTTATATGAGATGTGGGCGTGGTTATTGTCCGATTTTAAAAATTTTCGGGCATTTGGTATGCTGTATCGGTACCAATAACTGTGCCAACTTTGGAAGAAATTGGTGCAGCGGTTACCAAGATATAAACATGTAACCATAAGTCTCGAAATTCGTAACTATAGCATGCCTAAAAACGAATTCTGTGTCGGCGGCGAGATAAAAAATATAAATCGATATGTGTTTGTAGGAAATATTAGTGGTGTTCATTTAAACAGATAAATTTGCCTTTCGCATATACGTATATTTTTATACACTGATTTATATAATCGAGCAAAAAAGAATCTTTGTTGCCCCTTATCGAGAAGCTTGTGTCCGGTTTAGTTATTTTTACAATGGGGGCGTTCATAAGACGTAGCTGTTTAGCTCATCTGCTACGAAACTGTTGACAACTGTTGAACCCAAGGCTTGATGAATATGCTGCGAAATGATCAGCTGATAAATGTAAACAAATTAAATTGCGATTAATAGAGATAGTTGCGCCGATAGTATTCACAGTTCAACGCTGAGCTGCCGCCATGTTGAAATCGATCAATGTTGTAATGAATTAAACAGTGTAAAATTATATAGCAAACATCTTAAAAACATATATGTATTTAGAAACGTAGTATTATTATAAAATATTTTAGTTACTTTATCACATCAGTAATATAAAATAGAATACATTTATTTGCAACTGCCACCTAACAAAGCGGCGTTAAAAGCGTTCCTGAAATATCGCGCGGAAACTGAATTCGTTCCGCCTCACAGGCGAACGTTAGTATTCTAGGGTTAAAATAAAGGTTTCAAATTTCCGACCACTAGCTTATTAATAAATTCGGTTTGCACTATGCACTTTTTTGCAAATTTCGATGTGGGTTCTGCGCAAAAATACTGTGGATGGCGTAGCCGGAGTGATATGCACAAGGAATGTTTGTATACCTTTGACATGCGGAAGCCCCTCTTCTCCGGCAATACAGAAAGGAGAATTCTACTTAAAAAGAGTAATAATCTCTAAGCACGGCCGAAGGCACAAGCAAGCGCAACAGGTGGTCCTAACAAAGTGCATGTTTTCAATGCCATATATTACGTAAGGGAGTTTTCGCCTGATTTGAACCCCCCCTCCCCTCACGTAATAAATTGTGAGATTTAATTGATCCCCGCCGCAGATCTTACGTAAGATTAAAAATCCCCTAGAAATGTTTTTTCAATTAAACATTAGAAAATACTATATATTTCCATCAAACAAATATAGGATGTATGCCAAGTCAGTCTTAAAACCTTCATTACATAGTTATACTAGTCATTCTTTTTTGTCGGTTTCTTTGGTCCACGGTCCAGCCAGCCAATCTGAAAGAGGAGTAGCCACAGGGAGATCTCGTACTTCTTTTTCACTCAAAGGTATATCATTTTCACGGTCCACTGAAATTTCTTCTTGATTCACCCACTTAACAATATCCTCTGTTTCATTTTCTGTGATGACACACATGAGCTCTCGCCCGCGTCGTGAAATTATCCTCTTTGCTCTTCGACGCTGAGGCTCAGAAAAGATCAAGTGAAGCTTTTTGTGAATGCTTAGGTGCTGTCCATATATTACGTAAGGGAGTTTTCCCCTGTTTGTGTTCGAGCTGCATTTTTCGGTTATAATAGACACCGAAGAGCAACGTTTTTTTAGAAAAATAGAAAAATTAAAGCAAAAGTTGTAAAAAATTGTAATATCCTCCGTATTTAATGTATATTTTTAATTTCAATGCAATTTAGTACTTTAATTGGGTGAATTTTCGTATTTTATAAAGAACAATTTTGAATAAGAATACAAGGAAAATAATATTACGTAAGAATCTACGGGATGCCCCCTCCAGTCATATAAGAAAAAGTAAGAAAATTCTAGATCCGCCACCCCCCCCCCCCCCCCCCCCCNATCTACGGGATGCCCCCTCCAGTCATATAAGAAAAAGTAAGAAAATTCTAGATCCGCCCCCCCCCCCCCCCCCCCCCCATAAAAGTCTTACGTAATATATGGACAGCCCCTAAGCACTTCATGAGTGTTTTTGAAGTGAAACTTCTTACTGGAGTTCGGAGATGGTTGCGTTAAATATTTAGCACCGAGTCATAAAATCTGTATCGTTCGCTCGATTTTCAAAAAAGAGGTGTAAATTTAAAGGGCTTGTCCTTTGGGTGTGCAACATAGCTTTAGTTCCATGAAAGGACTAGCCACATGTTAGAAAACCGAATTCAAAATTTCTCTGCCGCAGAGGGTTGCGTTAATTATTAAACACCAAGTCATAAAATCTGTATCGTTCGTCCGATTTTCAAAAATGAGGTGTCACATGAAGGCCCTCGTCCTTCGGGTGTGCAACATAGCTTAGCCAGTGTTGGCAAAATGTTAATCTGTTTAACGATTAAAATGTTAATCGCGATTGACGATTAAAATTAATTAATCGTAATCAACTGTACGATTATTTTTTTAATCGTTAATCGCTGTCTGCGATTACTGCTAATTAATTTTAGTCATTAATCGTTAATCCAAATAAAAAGAAAATCCGATTAAGTTGTATAGTTTGTATGAATTTGGAACCAAACACCAGTTATAGTAATTATTTTGTGTTTTACGCTTATAAAAAGCACATAACATAAAAAAAATATCTATTATATTATTATTTATTAAAACATAGTTTTGTAAAACGTCTGTTGGTATAGATCTTAATGAAAATGCACACCAAATTGCTTAGATTGACAAGGAAACCCGCATTAGCCATACCCGATTAACTGGCTTTGGGTGCACAGGAAAATTCCAGCACAAATTAATTAACCACCAAACGTTCTTAATCAAATTAAGGATTAATGATTATAAATTATTTTTTTTAATCGCGGGTACGATTAACTGTTTAATCAGATTAAAATTAATGATGATTAACTGTAATCGGATTGAATTTAATCGAATTAACTAATTGATTAAAAAATCAATCGATTATTGCCAACACTGATGCAAACGTTTTTAATTGCAAAACATTTTAATTATAATTTTTTTTTCATACTTAATTGACTGTAAATAAATTAACGTTTTTATTTTAAAAATGTCTAGTTTTATTTTACTTGTTGAAAATAGTGTCGCACTACTACTTTTTGGGACAATATTCTAAAATGTTTCATTTTAGTTTTTGTTCTCCTCAGTAAAAATGTTAATATTCTACAACGATCGTTTATATTTTGCGAATGTTTCGTTTCAAAGTCGTAAATACAAATACTGTATTTTTTTTTATTTTGTACGAAGTAAAATTATATCAAAAAATTTTAATTTACAATTTCTTTTACAAATTTGCGTCTTACCTGGATCATTTCTTCTGTGTACTATTTAGTTTCATCGTCCTTCTCCTCAGTCGAGGTGTTGACACAAATGAGGCTTAAGTGGTTGAATTTAACTTTAATGCGGATCGTTGCGGTTCTTTCAATGATGGAAGTGAACCTGGAGACGAGGTTTCGTAATCTTCGCTCAACTAGAAATCCCACATTCTAAAAAAAAATTTTGTGTAGATTTCCTAGCTAAAATGTAGGTTACTGATTTCCTACCTTATTATTCGCGAAATGACATGCTCGATTATTCAACGAATAGTTCGTTTAAATTTCGGACTTTCTAGAGTGTAATATAGTTGCTGTGGTGTGCGTAAATTTACTACGACAGTGTGCACAAGCTACAAAATACACATCTGCTGTTTGATTTCACGCGTAGAATTGTGTAAAGTCGCTAACAAAAAGGATTTTTACACACGAAAATGTGTAAACGAGAAAAATACATTTTCATCATGTAAATTCACCAAAAAATCCTAAAAATAAACAATGATAATAAATAATAATAAATAAAAACATATATAAAATAAATAGAAAAAATATATAAAAAATAAATAGATAATAAATAAAGTCGATTTATAGTCGCATTTTTAAACAGATTTTTTAGAGTACACACCAAGATGTCGCATGATGTAAATTTCATGCAGCCGTGTCCCGTTCATCGGATTTCCTTGATTGCAATGATGTCAGTCTTATATCAGACATACACTAATTGGATAGAGGCACGGTGCCTATAAAGAGTCCGGACAATCCAAGGGCTGAAGCACGACTATGGGGTGTAGCACTCCCTTGGCTTTCCGTTAGGTTAGCCTGACTTAAAAAAAACTAGCGTCTTATTTTATTTTACTCTCAACAGCATTATTGAGACTTGTACGAAGATTTGTGTTTTTGAGGAAAAATGAAAAAAGCAACAATGTCTTTGCGGTAAAAGTTACAGCTGCTATTTCCCAGATCACCATATATCCTCATCAGACTTATTTATCTAGACTTCAGTAGGAATCCAACCTGCATTAAAGATGTGCAACGTCAGCAACCCTAACCACTGAGCTATGCACACCCCGTAAACTCTTGTTGCTAATAAATTTCCTCATGCAACCTACTCCAATCAAGTTCGGCCTCTATTTATACTTGATGTATGGTTGTTATTATAAATTCTATACATTTATTAATTTTCTAAAACTCTAGGTACTTTTTGTATAATCTTCATAGTTTTCACAATATTCCAATTATTTATTAGCAGTAACAGTAACAAGCAAAGTTCATAACAGTTTGGTTCATATGATTCATACAACTAATTTAATAATTCAGTTCTTCAATTAGGTAATAGGTAACAATCAATACTGGCTGGGCCATCTATCATGAGCCTCATTTAAAAACGAATAATGGACGAGGGCAAGTAAGCGTTGCGGGGAGCGTGCACTTCTGGCGAGCGAACAGGAGCCTGTGAAGCAAAGTTGTGCACAGGGGCAACACCACTATTATGTGCTTGAGAGCTTCCACCCAATTGGTCGTATTGTGATTGGATGGCTTGCTGGGCGTTGGCGGCATCTTCAGGAGTGCGGTATTTGACGAAGTGCACCTCGGGCCTGTGGCTGCTTTGACTTTGAATCGCATTGAGTTTGTTAGCCAAATCCGAGATGTCGCTCTGTTTTTGCAAAACATAGATAGCGGTTTGGTCTTCGGCAGCGTGCTTGGCCAATTGGAGGGCTGCATTTTCGAGACCTTGGTTTTCAGGTCCTTTGATGAAAACAACACGCAGGTTCTGTTTTAATGAGTTGGCAGCTTGTTGAGCAGCATCAGCATTATCAAATTCCTGTTCGGGAGCAGTATATGTGAAGTATTCTTTGTTGAATTCGGCAGGTGACGAATACGAAGGGCCCACGCTTCCAAAACGACCTACTGGAGCACCAATGCCGCCTAAGTCCGCAGACCCTCCAAGACCACCTTCCAAACCACTGAGCCCACTAAAGCCACCTAGGTGGTCATTGCTGCCCAAGCCACTAAGTCCTTCATTGCCACTCGATCCTTTTAATCCGGTGAGTCCTCCAAAACTACCTGAAGATCCACCAGGGGCAAAGGAGAGCCCAGATTCTGAATGAGCTACTGGACGATAATTGTAACCCAATTTATCAGCGGAGGCTGTGGCCATTACGCACATAACCTGCACAAAATAAAAGTTTGTTATATTCAATTATTGTTTTTCTACTACAAATAATAGTACTTACGATAAAGAAGCGCATCTTTAAATTTGGTTTGATACTTCTTGGTGAGAATATAATTATTTTATGATGATTTCTAGTCTGTAGATTTTCCTATTTATACAAGTAACAATCTCTGTATTAATAAACCAATCGTACCGCTGTTATTTCGCTCATTATGGTATAGTTTTCGGCTCTCCCCAGCAGAGAGTTTTACTGTTATTGCTTGATTTTTTTAATGTTAAAACCCAGTGTTGCCAAGTTCTGAATTTGAAAAAGTACAAAATCACCAAATTTTTTATTGGAGGGTTTAATGGACTTTGTATGCATACAAGATTCAAATTAATAAACATTAATATTTCTTGCTCGCCGGTCGAAGGTTCGTTATTCATTTTATTGGTAAGGCTGATTTTCATTGGGTCAAAATCACTGACATCAAAAACTGCCTTCATCTGACAGCTGTTCATTGGGTGTCAAATGCGTTTTCATTACATTTTAAAAACTGACCAAATGTCGATACCGTAGTGCGTGTCAAAGACTGTCGTCAAATTTCGGTGTCAGATAATTGATATTCCGTTTTCATTACTGATGTCAAATGTGAAGTTAAATATTATAAAAGGTGTAGAATACCGAAATAGTAGCTTTAGACAAACGAAAAATGTAACTGGATAGAACTCCTCATGGTGATTTCAACCTTACCAAAATTGTTTAGCGAAAGCTACCGCTACATGGTAAGCCGGTGTGTATAAATTTTGAGTAAATTAGCGTTCTTAAATTTCGAAATATTGAAGTTTCAAGCATTTCTGAAATTTGCCGTTATATGAAAAGTGGTCGTAATTTGAATCTGATTCCAATAATTTTCAACGTCTTGCTTCTACTTGCTATACCGAGTTTGGTACAAATTGGTAGAACGGTTACCGAGGTATATATATGTGATCATAAGTGGGCGGTGCCACGCCCGTTTTCCAAAATTTTACCATAAACGTATTTCTTGGTAAAGAATTGTTGCAAGCATCAATTTTGAGTAAATTAGCTTTAATATTTATTGATTTATCGAAGATTTCGTATTTCTCCAAATTACCTTTATATGGGAGGTAGGCGTGGTTATTGTCCGATTTTAAAAATTTTCGGCCATTTGGTATGCTGTAGCAAGACTAACAACTGTGCCAAGTTTGGAAGAAATTGGTGCAGCGGTTACCAAGATATACACATGTAACCATAAGTGGGCGTGGCTACGCCCATTTTCCAAAAATGTACAATATTCTTATTTTTCGTCTAAAAATTATTGTAAAAATCAATTTTGAGTAGTTACTAAAATATCGCAGTGTTCGTATTTCTGAAAATTACCGTTATATGGGAGGTAGGCGTGGTTATTGTCCGATTTTACCCATTTTACCCGTCCTACGCCCGAAAGAAGTGCACATACCAAGTTTCGTTAAGATATCTCAATTTTTACTCGAGTTATCGTGTGCACAGACGGACGGACGGACGGACAGACAGTCACCGCTTAATCGATTTCTCTTTTCATTCTGATCATTTATGTATACATTTGTCTATATCTATCTCGATTCGTTTTGCCTGTTACAAACAACCGTTATGTGAACAAAGTTATAATACCCTTGTGCACAAGTGCGCTCGGGTATAAAAATTAAGATAGAGGAGGTTAAGTTAAATTGTTCGATATTTTGAAAGATCAACATCATAATCGATTAATTTACTAATGATGTCAGAATAAAGATGGTTAGTTTATCTTTCAGTTGATGTACATAATATTTATGATTTTTTATATCTTTAAGTCAAGAATACTAAAATATGATTTTTTATATTTTTAAGTCAAAAATACTAAAAAAGAAAAAAATTAAATTTTTTCATAAAATTACCTTTTTTGAAGAAAATTTCATAATTATTGCTACAGAAATTTATTTTATTTAGAGGGTACAAGTTATTACCTTATATAGAAAGGTTTTTTATAAGGCAATTTAACAACAATTCGAAATTATATATATATATATATTTTTTAAATGGAGCTAAAATTTGTTTTGGTTATAGGAAATACCTCGTAAAAAGATATTAAAGTTATCTTTGAATTGGCATCAATACTTTTTTAATCGGTCAAGTAGTTTCCGAGATATTAAACATTTAAAAAATAGGAAAGTTGAAGTTTATTTAACCTATTATAATTTCTTTATTTTTTACTTGCCCCAAGGTAATGGCAAATTACCGTATGTAATTCTTGCATGATTGAAAATGATGCCACATATTTTTTTGATAAGCATATCGTCGTTTAAAGTACAAAACCGCGTATCGTCATTCTGCAAAACCGCGTAACTGACATTGGCTGCCAAAAATTAGATTTGCTCACACAAGCTCTTGGCTCAATCCTTATCCATTCGTCCTGAAATATACTATCCAGAAAAGCGATTGCTTTATAAAAGAGAGAATCAATTTGAAATATGAGTGTTTTTACGCTCTAGAAAATAATTACTACAACTTCACATACGCGGTTTTGCATTTTGCTGATACGCGGTTTTGCACTTTAAACGACGATATGATCTTTTGCTTATGATTGTCATTGTGCCATGATTTTCTTTCCATTTTTGTAAAGTTCCTTATGAAACTTACAATTGCTCAAAATTTTGCTTCCATTTTTGTTTCGGATTTACAGTTTTAGTGTCTTCAAACTAAAAAAGCACCAAAAAACGCACCAAGCACCAAACTCAAAAATGAAAAACATTAAATTCAGTGCGAAAAGCACTAAGTTGGCAACAGTGTTCAAATCTTACCGCCTACTTTTACGATCCACTTCGATGTTGTCATAATTGGGCATTTAAACGCATAGTATGACGACAATTCCGCGCTTGTTGTATGCTAATTTGTACATCTATTCAAATTCGGTCGTAAAATTTATTCATATTTTTTTGGATTAATGTATGATTTTGACTAAGATTAGCGAGAACAGGAAGCTAGGCGCCAAGAATTTGCACTTATACATATGTATGTACGGCGAAAAAATACGCGTAAAAAAATCTTACAAAAAAGATTTAAGGAAAACTTCGACGAAGAAAGACGCGTAAACATATATTTATACCTGGCCAAGGACTGTCACTTCAGCATAATTCCCAAAAAACTCTTTGGGGAATTTACATACAGTTACACCTGCAGCATAGTCGACCACAAAAATAAGCTTCCGGTTCTTTTTTCGCCGTCAAAATGTACATACATACATATGTTTTTGATCAATTTTGTGCTAGCCCTTTCCCAGTGTGCGCGCTGAGACGTTTGATTTTGGAATAGTTTCCCTTTCTCTTGTGCTTTTACCAAGGAACGGCGGTAGTGACAGCGCGATTAGGATTAGTGTGTGTACATTTTAATCAACGATTAAACAAGTATTATTATTGGAAGTCACCTGCAGAGAGATAAAGCTTTCCATCGAAAAGTATTGATTTTCAAGAATTTTATACCATTTCTACGAAATATTGTGTTTCCCCATATAAAATACATAAATACATATGCTTTGAGCGCTTTAAATATTTTTTGATCTCGAAATAAAAAAACATGGCTATATTATTTCGATATAGAAAAATCCTAAAGGGTGAGATCATTAAAATTCGGATATTATTTTTTCCTAATGCATTTTTAGACCAGCCTCGGAAATTCTTTTGGTGGAATACAAGGACTTTTGTGTTGTAAGAAACTTAAACCAACTAGGAATATGATATTAAGAGACATTTTTCATCTTTTCATAAGGATATGGAAAATTTTGATTAACATAAAAGACATATAGTCGTTTAAAGTACAAAACCGGGTATCGTGATTCTGCAAAACCTCGTAACTGAGATTTGTGCTGAAAAAGATCAGAGATTTGCTCACCAGAAGCTTTTGGTATTAAACCCTTATCCATTCATACTAAAATATCGATACTTAGATATGAGATAATTAGGGATAAAAGAGAGAACCGTTTTGAAATAAGAAAAGTTTTACTCTCTCCTATAAAAATTTGGCAACCTCACATACGAGGTTTTGCATTTTGTTGATACGCCGTTTTGCACTTTAAACGACGATATGAATATGTATGGTATGTAAATATCGATTATTTACTTCAGTACTGTTATAACTCAAAAAACCCAAAACTCGAGAAAAACGGGGTTTGAATTTACATATACTCCAATTGTAAAAATGAATACATATTTCGTTCTAGTGAACTACAGTAAATGGTACAGATATGAAATTTTTGCGCAAAATAAAAGAAAAGTTAACCTTCATTATCGCATACTTAACACAATTCCTGTTTTTTTGGGTTATGGAACTTTCTGGTACATAAATCAGCGATACGCACATGTACGTACATATGTTAAATATTTTTATGTACCTTTACGAAGTTTTTGGTTTAAGTTTACCCAATTTCCTACCGGGTTGCTCACAGTCACAGTTTTACTTTCGTCGACCCCTGCTCTTGATTGACGAGGAGAGTGGGGAGCTGACTGGTACCTACCTAATTATTTCTAAGGACCGGGAGGGGGAGGACCTCGCTCATGATGTATTATTGTTAGCCATCCTAACGCCAATTAGTCCTCGACATCTTGGCTTGGTGGGGGATGCATGCTTCGACAACGACTCTAAGCTGACAAAGTCTTTTGTTTTGATTATATACCTCGTTTTCAGTTTCAACGTATTGACTGTCAAAACTCAACACTCGATGTCCCGTATTTTTTTAGGGATTTTTTTTTTACTAAAATGCACTGTGTTCTGCTTGCTAAGCTGTTTAATTTGAGACCTGTATTGAGGGTATTGGCAGCCATCTTGGATTTGGGATTTGCTCATGGTGTACTGCGTTCTACAAGCCATGCCCTTTCATTTGATACCCAATGGGTATTACCCATGTAAAGAGAGTTGTGCAAAAATATGTTAAAGCAAATTTCGAATTCAGGACAAATTAAGTTAAGTTTTATATTATCACTAGCAGACCCGGCGAACTTCGTCCCGCCCAAAATTAATTTTTTGTATTGAAACATTTTGGTCCAATATTTTCACCATCAGTTCACGTTCATGTTTTTCAGTGACACATTTATCTTCTAATATTAAGGTTTGCTGGTTGTCAGAAGGCATATTTCCATTTCCATCTTAAATAACCTAGCAAAAGGCTGACTTCCAAAAC